ACAAATTCACACTCGGGAATCGAGCTCTGACCGTTCCCAACGTATACGAGATTAGAGAGAAAGATAACAAACGTCAACGACTAGAGTTCGTGATCGAGTTTTAGCTCACAGTAACAGATCAGCTTTCATGCATTTTGCTCAACAGTCTTCCGTCCAAATCGTAGCCACGAATAAGATCTGCTCTAAGTGTTCTGCCAAAAATGGGTCGATGAACCAAATGGTATGTGCTGTGCTTCTGAAAAATTTAGTCCCCCCAATATTGAGGAGCCGCCACAACCAATAAAAAACCTTTTTACAAATTATCATTCACCATCAGGACATTTTTAACGAACATCGGAAAGTACAATAGCCTCTTTCAAATGACTTCGTTTGACGGGAACTTTTAAAATAGAGGGACAAGTATACAAGTATCATCAATATACAACAATCATCATCCTCCTGCCTCCTAGGTGGGTTCGGCACAACATGAATCATGTTGTTGGCGGTTTTGGCTATATTTTTACAACCAGCCGCCTGCCTGACGTCAACCCTCCTTGGAAAACAAATACCCAGATCAAATTTCAACTGTGTAACTATCACGGTTCATGAGATACAGCCTGTTGACAGAGGGACAAACAGAAAGCGGAGTCTTAGGAATAGGGCCCCGTTTTACCCTTTGGGTACGGAATCCTAAAAAGGCCCCAGAGGTATAGTGTTTCACGGTAGACACGTCCAACTTAAAAGGGTCTCTGAGTTACACAGATTGTATGATCCACTAAAATATTCCTTAATAGTCGTAATAGGAGAAGGTTAATATTTGACTATTCCTCGGCAATGTACTGTGCGCAACAAAACTGTGACATGCATGGAATTTTATGCATTTAGGTTAATGGTTAGAGCTACCTGTTCTAATCCATTGCATTATTACTGGGACTTATTAGGGTTCCGTACCTAAAGGTCAAAATCGCACCCTATTACTAAGACTCCGCTGACTGTCTGTTTGTCCGTATGTCTGTCCATATGTCACTAGGCTGTATGTCATGAACCGTGATAGTTAGACAGTGTAAATTTTCACAAACGATGTATTTCTGTTGCCACTATAACAATAAATACTAAAAAACAAAAACGTATAAATGAGCGGGGCTCCCATAAAACAGACATGATTTTTTTGTCGTTTTTCTAGATAATGTTTACAGTAGTAGTGTTTTTGACAATATGTAAGTGTAATACTTCTATACTTCTATTGAATAAAGGTATTAAAACATGATTTTTTAATGTGATAGAGTGGCAAACGAGCTGGTTCCACTGATGTTAAGTGATAACAACTGTGTTGCCAACATTAAAGAAGTGGGCACCGGTTACCTCTCTCACCAGACGAAACGTAGAAGTATAACACTTCTATTTTACGCCGGTCTTCTGTGAGGTCGGTACGGAACCCTTCGTGTGCGAGTCCGACTCGCACTTGGCCGGTTTTTAATCAATACATTGTCGATATGATGGCAAAAAGATTTCAGAAAGATTGAATTTATGTAATCTTTTTTTTTTTTTTTAAAAACACTGCCCTTACTTTAGGATAATATTATCCTCTGTTGTAAAGGACGTTTTACAAACATAAATTTCACGCGGACAAACACCCAGATGCGAAACAACTATCTGTGAGTCACACAAATAGTTGTCCCGTGTGGGAATCGAACCCACGACCCCCGACGCCGAAGCCAATAACTTGGCAACTGCGCCACGGAGTCATCAATTATGATGTCGTGATCACCAGAGACAGGGCTGGTGAAACATTCATCTTAGAGACGCCTTAAATCAAGACATTGGCCCATCAAATATCGGTCAACGCGTAATCTGCAACGTTATATTCATTTACGGGTTCTCCGAGTTATCTGCATTAAAAAACCAAAGATGCGATGATTTATGTTCGAAGCTATGGGAGACCAGACTTATTTGTCACTTTTACGTGTAACCCCAAATGCCCGTAATTAAAACGGAACCATTATCTGGTCAGCGGTCTTTCGATCTTCATGACCTAATTTCAAGGGTATTTCATTAAAAGATGAAGAAATTCATAAAATTATTCACCAAAGACGAAATATTCGTAAGGTTTTATGTGTGTGTATGATAACTTTTTGTTAAATACCCGTGCGAAGCCGGGGCGGGCCGCTAGTAGCAACTAAATCCCGGTTAACCTGAGAAATAGCTTCTTCGAGGCTATCGAGAGTTATCTGGGCATATAACTGCAAGTCATCAGCGTAAAGATGATACGCACATTGAAGATCGTGGGATAAGAGATTTATAAATACAGAAAATAGGATAGGAGAGAGTATACCGCCTTGAGGAACACCAGCAACAAGATTTAGCCAACATGATGAGGATTCACCGACATTAACTGATTGCTGGCGCCCTCGAAGATAGGATGAGAACCATATCAGTACTTCATCAGAAACCATTTTATAGGAAAGGATAGATAAAAGAATATCATGACTGATGGTATTAAAAGCATTGGAAAAGTCGATAAGGACCATAACAGTCATCTTACCGTGCTCCATGCCAGTTCTAATATCGCCAGTGACATTAAGGAGTGCTATAGTGGTACTGTGACCAGGTCTAAACCCGGATTGAAATGGACTTATCAAGTTATGATTAAGTATGAAACGAGAAAATTGCTTGAGCACACAAGACTCAAGTACCTTGGAAAGAAAGGGCAGAATAGAAATAGGTCGATAATGGGCGGGATCTGAGGGATTGGAGCACTTTGGGAGTGGACGGACTTAAGCTTTACGCCATATAGTGGGAAAATGTCCAGAATCTAGAGAGAATTTAATGATGTGGGTGATAGCAGGAAGGAGGTAATCAAGGATAGGAATAATCATGTGTCGGCCAATGTAATCACAACCAACCGCATTTGATTTTATTTTAAGGATTGCTTTTTTGGTTTCGTCTGAAGCAACAGGGGTAAAATGAAACGAAATGTCACTAGGACGCGTCAAACCATTTAAGTACGAAATAGTGTTGCATATTGTCAGATGATCCATCGAGGTAGTGGTAGTGAAATGATGATTAAGATCATCCAATCCGATAGAATTAGGAGGGTTGGAAATACGCGGCTTACCGATACCGAGAGTCCCAAGAAACTTCCAGATACCGGCAGGAGTAGATGAAGAAATATTATTGTGAATGTGAGGGCGTTTAGCATTGCGTATCATCTGATTACACCGATTTCTGGCCACTTTATAAAACGACCAGTTCTCATCAGAGCGATCCCTTTTGTATTTTCGGAACGCTCGGTCCCTGCGCCTCATGAACATCCGAATTCCATCAGTCATCCACGGTGCTGGAAGGTGCCTCAGTTTGACTTTTTTGACCGGATCGTGGATATCATAAAGCCTTATAATCTGATGGTTCAGGATGCTGACTTTGTCATCAACGATCACTGCTTCATATAAAGGCTCTATGTTAATTGCATCTCTAGACATCAGCTCTATGTTCAACTTGGTGAAGGAACGCATGTGCAGAACCTTGGGTTTAGGTTTAGGAGGCTTTAGGAGGTAGGACAGGTAAATAAGGTCATGATGAGAAAAACCGGGGGCAGGATATTGTCCATGTGAGGACACCAAGGCAGGATTAGAGGACAGGATTAGGTCGAGCCAAGTGTCTTCACCGAAGTCATTATGATGAGTAGCTTTAAGCGGTAATACGTGAAGACAGCTTGACTCAATGATATGTAGAAGTTTACGTGTGCGAAGAACTATGGGACAGGAGATTGTTGTTAAAATCGCCCATGATAACGATGTGAGCATACTTTGAACCCAAAGATTCAAGTACCGGTTCGAATTCGGTGAAATAGTCAACATTTGGGGGGCAGTATACGACAGCTATAACTATTACTGCGCCTTTAACTGTAACCTCTAGAAAAATAAACTCAGCAGACGCCGAGTAATTTTGAGAGGATGAGGCCAGCACCTTGTACGGGAGGTCATACCTTAAGTATACTGCAACCCCGCCCCCACCCTTACCGATACGGTCATTACGGACTAGAACAAAACCTGAAAGAGAATACATTGTGGAAAGCAAATGAGGTTTAAGCCAGCTCTCGGAAATCAGTATGGCATGCATGTTGCAATTGGAAAATGCTAGGCACAAGTCAGAAAAGTGACTAGGAACACTTTGCGCATTCAAATGCAAATATTTAGAAGGTTTTTGCTATTATTCGAAAACTTAGTAGTCAAAAAGTCTTACGCCGCCTAACGAACCGCCGCCTAACGAACTAAAACTGTCATCGACAACAGAAACTACAGAATCATTAGCAGAGTAATATGAATCATCGTCAGATATATTCGACATATTAAAAAAAATATATATAATATAAATACTACTATAAATTAATAAGTTTTGTATATAGATTAATAAAAATAAATAACGAAATAGTGCAAAAATTTATGGAAAAAAATATTATCTCTGCACCACCCGCCAGCGTACGCAGCGCCATAAGACTAGTAAAAATGACATAAAAAAATCAGCTGAGAGGAAATATCAACACAAAAGAATGAAAAAAGTAAGTAAAAATAAAAATGAAAAATAAAATATTTAAAGCAAATACTTAAAAGGAACGGAACGCAACGCCGTTTGACAGCTAATAAGAAAAACAAAACAAAACATACGTCATTGTTGCCAATCATAATGACAATAAAGTATAAAGGGTAAAAATTCCGAACAGTACGTATCGTTTTTCAAGCTAGAAAAAATTTTAAATGGATAGAGAACTGTTAATAATTAAATATTACATACGTGAAAACCAAGGCAAACACTTACTTTTAATAAAAAAAAAATTAAAACTTGTTATTTTCACTAAATAAATCGCCATTTTGTGTTTGACAACATGTATAAATTTAAGAATTCACACACAAAAAAAAGAAAAAAGAACGATTAAAAAAAAAATTTATACATCCTAAAATATAAATTAGGAAGTGAAAAAAAGAAGTGTAAACTTTTTTACCTAATAGTGATTTTATATTTTAGGATTTACTGTCACCGGAGTTCATCGAAGACCTCCCAGGCGTCTTTGGATATTTAGTGGTTAGAGGTGCCAGCTCCTCCTCAGTGGTGATCCTGTAGTTGCTTCCACTTGGTGCTTTGATGACTATGACACCCCCCTGCGTCCAGACAGAACGCATTCCAAAATGGAGCCGGGATTTTGCGAAAACTGCTTGCCTGGCTCTTGTCAAAAATTCCTTGAGTGACACGCTGGAACCTTTGAGCTTTGTCTTCGCCTTCCATACTGTTGACTTGATATCTATACTTGAAAATCGAACTAAAATAGGTCGATGATGTTGTTTACCGGGTAATCCGAGCCTGTGGCAAACTTTAAGTGCTGACTTTGATATGTCGCTCAGGCCCAACTTGTTATTGAAGACATCCAGAATCAATTGGCTGCAATCCTCGTTTTCCTTCTCAGGTACTCCTGATATGATGATAGCCTTCCGACGGTTCCTTGATTCAATGTCATCAACTTGTTTGCTGCACTCCCTTATTTGCTGCCGAAGAAGACCAAGAATACCAAAGATGATCTCTCTGAATTGACGCAGTTCTTCAGCAACCTTTGAAACAGTATCCTTTGAAGACCCCGCATTTGAGATTTGAGCTTGGTGGTCATTGAACTTTTTTGTGATGTTCTCCTCAAGTCTGTTCTGCGTGGAGATTATCTCTGCTAAATTGGACATCCTGGTGTCAATAATAATTCCAATAACGTACGTGTAATATAGCGCAGATGTTGTGCTGGCAGGTGGTGACTATCTTCAGTGTTTACGTTACATATATTGTACTACAAATGTAAGTAGCATTAAATCCAGCTCTCAACACACAATTTGGAATGAAAACAACACAAAAAACTGCCAAAATGTAAATTATTTCATACAGATCTTTTTGAACAACGTCTAATATTTTTCTTCACCTACCGTCGAAAAAAAAAAAGAAAAACAAAAAAAAAACACTTCAATTGAATATATATCAACTTCAACTCTCGTGTGAGTCACTGCATTGAGAAAGAGCCGATCAGTATTCGTCTGTCGTCCGTCGATTGTTTCTCGAAGACGTACATCCTCGCTGGGCATTCGTAAGCGACTTGCAGAGGAAGAGCGTTGATACATTTCCTTTAGAAGGCAGACTTGTGGTAGATGCTGGGTCAAAGAGGTACTTCTGGAACATGTCAACTCATCAGATCTCGTCACTCAGGTATTGATTCATCACTCGGAATTTGCGACCCAATGTAGAACTAATAAGATGCCATGGCTATTCTCTATTAAAGATTATGGACTAATCCGTACCGTGACTATCAAAATTACAAAGTGCTTGGAACACCAGGAATGAAATATCAAAACTTGATGAAACGTGATTTATTTCTAAGACCATATAACTTTTCTCTTTCTTACTCGTCTTTGTCTATACTTAAATTCATTATACTTCTACTTCTTCATTGTAATATTTACTTAGTCGTATTTTGATTGTTGATAAAATATAAAACCCAGTTGTTTTTGCTTTGTACATAATTTAATGTGAGAATTCTAGATATTACTTTAACAACAAGCTATAGCATATTATGTTTCTTAAAGATATACATAATTGTCGCTTTGCATTATCACAACATTTTTGGAATCAGTTCTCCAGTTCTTGTTCTGTAGATATTGTATAACCTAGATTTTTTTAAATGGAACGGAAAGAAGCAATCATTGGAATGATGACCATCGACAAACCAATACAACATTTTCTACAATTTGTGTTTGATGTATCACTCTAAGTCGGCGCTCAGAATTTAGAAAGCTGCGAAAACATATCTACGCAACTTCGCGTAGTAGGGAGCGGTGATAGGCGAATAAAATAGTTACCCAATGGGCTTCCTGTATCGATGTAGAAATGATATTGATGGCCAATTAAACGTTGATACGCTCACTGCTGTAATGACACAAATCGGATGTAACTGGAGCCAATCCAAAATCCAGATGAAATAGAGTCATAAGCTATGCAAATAATAACTACGTATCCAATTAATACTTCATCATCATCAGCCGCAAAACGTCCACTGGTGAACATAGTCCTCCCCTTAGAACGTAACAGCGAACGACACTTTGCCATTTCCATCCACAGATCGCCATTGGAAGGCCTCCCTCTAGGTGGACCGACAACATCGTAAGATTAATACTTACACTAAGCATTTTAAACAGATGTGAAATAGTACGTTTACATTCCGTACATTCGACTGGAACTATGACCGAATGTATCATATTTTTTGATAAGCGGCAAAGAATTTTGCTCTCATTGCAACACAAATCTATGACAAACTTTTCTTCTGTGAGAAGGTGGCAAAAGATCTGGCGTGTCACCTGATGTTGAGTGATGACCGCAGCCCTAGACGTCTGCTAAACCCGTGGCTGTAAAGTAGTGTTTTTATATATCCCTAATAATATAGAGGTTCGTAACCCTCAACGGATACATACCGTCTCAAGAGTCCATGATTTTTCAAATGGGTACAAATAACTTTTCAAGTTTAAGTGCGTTTTTAACCATATAACTTATTTAATTAATCGTTATTACTATAGAAATGTGTTATACACAGAACCGTCTCGGAAATTCTACGATGTAGTGAGGATCGCGATGGAGATGTAGAGATCTCATTCGTGCTCGAATGATGGACAGGACCAAAAAGAAGAAGAATAAAAATAATTTTATTACAAAATTTTGATACTTTTAAAGACCCCAAGTAGACCCTGGCAATTGCTGGGACAAATGCTAGGTAGAAGAAGTTGATACTTTTAAAGTTGATGAACGAAGTATGTCGCATCGCACTTTGTTCTCGTTGTTTTGCATTACAAAACCATTACCGCCTCTTCTTTACGGCACCGCTGCCGGCAATTTGCATAACTTATTATAACGCTGACGAGTAATAGTGCTGATACCAAGGCATGGAAGGATAACGAATGAAGGGTGGCACTTAAGCTCAGGTTTTATGACAAAATTTAAGAAAAATCTATCTCCTGATATCGAGAGAAGCGTGGCGTGAACTGAAAGTATTATCTTTTTTAGTGTTTTACACCAACATTAATCCCAATCTCGCCTGGTAACTGAAAAATTGAGTAAAGCGCCTGTTATGACTTTTTCTTTCAGCCGACTTTCAGTCATATGCTTTTTTATGTTTGTTACCTCAGAACTTCGTCATTTATGAACCGATTTAAAAATATTTTTGCATTGGGTCTGGTTTGACTCCCATATGGTTATGATTGACTTCGAAACTATATCTGGGAACCCTCAAAATATAATAGAAAATATATACTGAAATTGGTTTTAAGTGTTAATGAATTTTTTTATTTTTATTTTATTTATTTTTTATTTAATGAAATTATTACTATAAAAGTAAATTAAGTATAAAATTATTTTTAGATAACCTATGGTTTTTTATATCAGACGTTACCGATGATATTCACCATTTCTCCTTCCACGTTTTATTTACGGCATAATGCGCAAAGCAAAACTATAAGTATATATGTTTTTCGCTGATCTCCTGCAAGGCCATGCAGCTGGTCTATTCCTACAGCTCAAACTGCTATGACGCCCACAGTGAACATAACATTCGGATAACATCTAAAACAGAAACAAATAACCATAAAACATTGGAAGTAACAAGGCCTAGAAGTTCGCAGATTTATTTACCGAGTTTTTACCGAGAATTCGAACTAGAAATTTAATTGCTACTCGAGAATGATTACTTCGATTAACAAATTCTGAGAAGGATCCAGAACATTCCACCGATTAAAGCGACACCGATGAATTTTGCCATTAATGATTCTATAAATACGAACAGGTTAATTTAGTTTATTGTTAAAATACGAGTTATCCTTCGTGCATACTTGTATATTTAACTAGCAGATATTACTAGTTCAGCAGCTAGACCTGGTGATAGTATTTTTTATGAGAGAAGGTAAGAGAGACAGTAGTTCACCTGATGTTCTAACGGCCGTCCATGGACATTTGCAACACCCGTAGGCTTTTTATGTGACATTATAGTAAGGGAACAGATGATCACTTGATATTAAGTGATGACATTCGCTCATGTTCAGGTGACGTCCATAATACAAACCCAACTTTCAAGAAGCGAAATGCAAAATAATAAGTTCCAATACATGTCATTCTCTGTGAGGATATTATAGAATCCCGAATCAGATAATTGGATTCTGGGTATATTCTTTTCTGATAAAAAAAGTTTTTTTTGGATAGCATTACGCGGCTACTCGTAGTTCTTTCCATCTGTTATCATTAGTATTACGTATACTGTTACTGATATCAGTTTTTGTCTCTGCGTCGCCCATAGGTTGACTGGGAGAGAATAACTTAGGCATTTAGTCCGCCAATTCACAATGTTTATTTTTGGTATAAAAGTTTAAATAAATAAAATATCAGCACCAATGCGCAATAAAGCGACAACGTACTTATAGGCGGTTTTTATCAGGCCATATTCTCCGCACAAGCCTCACTAAAACGCACTCGTGGTCTAGTAGACAAAACGTCGGGTACCGTTCATTAGGTCGCGCGTAGACTTCAATGGTGTGGAAAGCTTTCCGTTTTTCGGTGTAATCCTCGCTGATGCACGGACAAAGACCACTTTTCACATTTATTTAAAACACATTTTAAATAAACGTATCAAAACAACAGTATCTAGTTTCAAACTAAACATACCCCGTACATCAGGTTCAAGATGGTTGAGAATAACATTTCAATCTAATTTTTGTACGTGAGAATAAACGCACAAATGTTACAAAAGCATCATGTTCATCACACAATATCTTACAGGTTGCGGGGATCGAACCCAGAAACTCAGGCGCTAGAGACAGGCCCATCCACTACGCAACTAAAATAAGCTCGGCAACAAGCCTTCCGTCTACTCCGAGTAAAAAGCCTTACGCCTGGTTTCTGAAACACTGATCATCGTAGATGTCAACTAATCAGCTGTCAAATGGCTTTTTAAATGTCATTTTAGTTGCCAAAGGTTGGTTAAACTTTCTGAAATGATCACAGCTATCATCTTAATGATCAGAATGTTCAATTCAAAGCTTTTTCAAGCCTTTGGCATCGCAAATAACATTCGAAAACCCATTTGATAGCTGATTAGTTGACATCTACGATGATCAGTGATTCAGAAACCGGGCATTAAGAGTCGGTATAGACGACACAGGTAGCTATTACAGCCAAGGTCCCTCTACGCACGCCTCGTCGAAACATACGCCGGGCGTTCAAAAACTTTGTTGTGTATTAACTGGGTCACATGCCCGGGTTCTAATGCAAACGGCCTCGTAGTAGTTTCGTAGTAAAGTTGGCTTGCGACAACTTTTTGCCGTTGTGCGTCGTGTCTATTGACTAAGCTAGGCCGGCCCGCGGCTCTCAAACTGTTACAGTTTTTGTTATATATTTATCATAACAATGATTATGTTTGTCATTTATAATCTTTTATTGATTCAAGCAGTTGCCAAGTTATTGGCTTCGGCGCCGGTCGTTGGTTCGATTCCCACACGGGACAACTACTTGTGTGACACAAAGATTGTTTTGGATCTGGTTGGGAAATTTATGTTCGTAAAACGTCTTTAATACACAAGACCATGTTATCCTACAGTAAGGTTCAAAGCTCAAAAAACCGGCCAAGTGCGAGTTGGACTATCTATAAAAACGGCAAAAAAATTCATCTATGTTGAATTGACAACACTTAAATGTGTTTTTATTCTGTTTTTAGTATTTTTGTTATAGCGGCAACAGAAATACATTATCTGTGAAAATTTCAAGTATCTATCAATGACTATCACGATTCATGAGATACAGTCGGGCGACAGACGGCCAGACAGACAGCGGATTCTTAGTCACTAGGGCCCTATTTTACCTTTTGGGTACTGTACCCTAAAAAGACGTGTTTGTCTTTCCATTTTTTCATTCAAATTTTCACTTCCACTCTATGAAACAAAGTCATACGACTTTGTTGCATACAATATGTAAGGAAACTTTGCAAAGCACGCGTTATCTTCTTATACATAGATTATTATCGATACGAGGTCAATCAAAATGTAAACCTTACATTTTTAATAAACATTATTTATGTTATCTTGTCTTGACTTGACTTGATTTTTACTGAAGTTAATCTTTGTTATAAATATGTATAACGGTGGTAGGGCCACCCAGCAGCCTCGGCTGTTGCACGAATGGGCAGGCTCGTCCGGGTAAGTACCACGACCTCACAGAAGACCGGCGTAAAGTGGAAGTATAATGCTTTCCCATTTCCTCTGGTGAGTGAGGTGGCCGGAGCCCAATTTTGAAAAGTTTGTCGACGCATCTGCAACCTTCGGGTGTAGCAGATGTCCATGGTCGGTGTTTACTTAACATCCGGTGAACCGTCTGCTCGTTTGACAACTTTTCACATTAAAAAAATTCTCTTATGTACAAATTCTCGTTATTTTATTTGTCGTCTGTGTCTATTACATTCCGACCACGAGCATTGATTAGGTCATGTGTTCTCTTCCTTCTTAAATGGTAAATAAACAAAAAAATTACAACTGCCCTTATAAGGATAGTGCCACCGCAAGAATTTGTGACTTGCTAGAATTTACTCAAGACTTGACAATCGTGGCCCCAATTATAATAGTTAATTTCAATATGATAATACAACAGTAAACTTTATGTTGAGAAAGCATTAAATCAACAGATTAAATAACATTTTCTTTCGAATTTCATTGAAATCTGCGCGGCCGTTGCCGTGAAGAGGGAACAAACGCACACACAAGCTTCTCGTTTATTAGTCCCATGCGCCAGTTTGTACACATTTTATCTTTTCATATACATAATGTATTTTAGATTTGCATATAAAATGCGAATCAATAACATATTGGCTAAAGTCAGCGGAATGCGAAACGAAATCCTTGACTTGGCGATATTGTGATTCATTCATAATAAAACTGACCTATTGGATAGTGGATAGATCATTGCACTATATTCATTCAATCTTTATGGATTTTCCATAAAACAAGATGCAGATTTAATACCTTTAGGCAATATCTATATTGCAATAATACACACAAATCTTTGCTCGCCAGCTACCTTTCTTCAGATTCCTTCCTTTAGAAGTTTATCGAACTCTTAGGGCTTGAGTTCTTGGTGTATAAAGCCAAAACCTTCTGCAAAAAGGTATTTGTCCGACAGCGAGAAATGATATCAGCTAGCTTTAGGAAAGCTTTCAAGCACGCAAATTATGCATACTATTATATTTACTTTTACATATTGTACTTTTACATACATATATATATTTTTTTCCGGAAATGGATCCACTATGCATGGCATCACTTTTTCTTAGCAGTCTTACGATTAAAAAGGTCAAGTCGTCATAAACATAACAGTAACAAAATAATACAAGCCATGGGGCGATGAATGAACCAATTAAAATGTATTTAGCCCTCCTTACAATTTTTAGATACTATGATTTTAGCAAAAAAGTAACTTTGGAATAATGTATTTTAATTAATATTCGAATAACCAATGAAGTTTATATTGTGTTCAAGGACTCTTATTATTATTATTATAGGCTTCAGTTTTATTACTAGTAGTATAGGTAATTTTTTTGCATAATCAGTCTTCAAAGAGCTCCGGTGTCTAGGGATAAAATAAAATAAAGAACATGTAGTAGATTTTTTTTATTTTTTATAAACGAAATCGCTTAAGACTAGGTACGACTTTTACAAAATATCTCTTTTAATCATCTATATATAAAAATCTATCTTAAATTTAATAAATCAGTGGCGTGATGATTTACGTGATTGTTGTAAAATAAAAAAAATACAATTTTTGCATGCAAAATATATACAAAATAAATGTCGACGAGTGTACATCTGTAAGTAGGTACATCTTCTTTGGCATGCGTTTTACAAATAAACTGTTTGCTTTGCTGTATTCAAGAACAGAACAATTCATCCCAAACACCCTAGATTTGTCGCTGGAACGAATCTTCTTCCCCTTTCACATATATGGCCTACATACGGACGGAGAGATACACTAGCATAAATCGTACAACTATTACATAGACGGACAAAAGTACAATGTTAAATAACTATAAATACGCGACGATTGCGACAACCATGAACACCTGTCGGGCCTACGTCGTTTGAATGCACAATATATGACGAAATGCTTAAGGTAGGAGGGACGCGAGTGTTGCGTAAAAATTAACATACATCGATGACCGATTTAGGCGCGGACAGACGGACAAACGAGCCTCGGAACTTTCGTATACAACCTTCGTAACAACCACGGCGGCTACGTAACAGAGGTTTTCACATAAACGACCTTCTAAAGTGGGACACGATCGAAAATCTCGACTCGTCGTCCATGGAATGCTTGGTTAGCGCTTCGAAATCATTTGCGCAATGCGCGCGGGCAATGAATCTATGGGATCTACACGGGTACACGCAGCGGGGGACGAGGTCAGTGGACATTACGAGATGACGAGATGTACAATTGAGCGCCATTGTGAGACAAGACAGGTAATGATTCATGGTTAAACGAGGAAATTAAAGATTAAGCCCACACTGCGAGACAATCTTTAGTTACTAGAACTAAGGCGTGGCCGGAGATATCTTTTCATCACTTCAAAGGTAACTAGGTTAACATAAGTATATAAAAGTTAGCGAGCAGTGTGAAAAATAAGGCACCGGAGATTCAATAGAAAAATCAGGATAAAGATTTCCAAGTTTCCTTCGACTAAGGAGACGAACTTTACTCCTGCGGGAGCGGTCGAAACGCCATGAAAGGTCAACGGGAAACTTTCACGATTGCGAACCAAGGAAAAGTTACTCCGGGCACGTTCGAAATTTGGCGGGTTCGGATTCGATATTGTGACTAAACTAGGACGTTGTAAATCGGCGGTACAAATAATACTGACTCACGTGTCGCTCAACACTCCGTCTCGCCCTCCTTCCTCTCCGTTATGTAGTGTTCCACCTCCCTCAGGGAGTTGTACAGCTTCCACGCGAGGATCACCCCCGCGATCTCGAGCAGTGATATTATCAGGGAAGCGCCGGCTACGCAAGAGCTGATGATCTTCGTGTACACGGCCGCCACTTTAGAGCAACCTAGCCTCTCGTTAGCCTCTTTGTCGGTGAATTCGCACGTGGCGCGGTAGTAGCTGTCCTGGCAGCAGCTGAGCGGCAGGTCGTTCCTCCAGCTCCTGTAATCTCTAGCGTCGTTCGCCCCGCAACAGCGCAGCTTCCTCTCGATACCTCCGAACGCTTTGAACACGTCCGGATTTGACTGCGAGTTGTAATAGCCGTCGTACACTGTGTCCTTGATGAAGCGGTCCGTGTGTTCCCCGTCGACGTACACGAAGATCAGGGTGGCCGTGATCACCTGGCCCAGCACGATGAGCATCAGGAATATCGCGTAGACACCCAACAGGCCCCTGCTCTCCTTGCTGGTGCCGAACCACCCGCACAGCGCGACCATCATCACGAACAGGCCGAGCAGTATGAAGAACCATGGCGCCAGCTGGGGCCAGTACACCCTGTAGTCCAGCAAGTAGTGGTTGGTGTTCCTCAACGCCACGAACTCGTTTATCTGCACGAAGAACCATATGCCCGTTGCGGCCGTAAACAAGCCGAAGATTGCGTACAGCACGTTCACGATGTACAGCACCGATTTGACGAGGCCCTCTTTCGCCATCTTAACTGTATCTGCGATCGACCGTACCCTATGATAGCGGAGTTCGTAATGAAAAGCGTTGCACTGACGCAACCAGTTTTATAATGCGTCCAGTGTGCGCCCGAGTCGCGCGTACCGCCCAAGCGAATTTGACCCTTAGCGTTGACACACTTTATTACTTGACAGTGGCGCGTCGAGAGCTTAGTGAGGCGACAACCGCGTACACGACCCCACGCGCCTAACGCCCAAACAATAAATACGAGATTCGCATTAACACTGTCCATCAATTAAGGACTAATGAGAGATAATTAAAATGCTATTATCGCGGTGGACGAAATAGCACGAAATTGAATTTTTAACATTAAACTTAACGCTATAGCGTGAATTACACACAATTATGTTACATTTCACATTTAATAAATTACATTATTAATTAGCGATAAAGACACTTAACCAAAGTAATGGTAATTAGAACATTTCTATAGAATTGTACAACATTCGCTAACTACTACAAAATTGTTAATTAAACACAGCATTGTGCGTATAAATTAAGACTTCTCGGTAAAATTGTTTCACATCGATTACTTAACAGGCATCAGAAGTTAGTCGCTTTCTCTATTAAAATTGAGAAAGGAAAAACTTAGTGATGCGTTTCTATTTTACATCATTCTCTCTTATTACTCTTTTGAACTGATTGTACATTACATTATAATAATATACAAGCTACAATCTTACATTCGTCGAGAAAAGGTCAACTTAAAGTTCGTAGCCAGTAAGGTGTGCCAATGAATACTCACAAACATTGCAATATGTGGCCGCACTGCGCACTCGTGGGCCGAACACGCGACCTTAAGCTGAATTCCAATTCGTACAATCGGCTATAGAGACTAGTATCGCGTAACATGTACTGTGCTGTCCAGCAACAAAGGTGGGCTTACGTCATTGACGACAATCGCCGGCCAATCAGGATCATTGTCATTTAGCCGCTCGCTCGACGCGACGCGACGTAGCCACTAAAGTCTATACAACGCCCGTCGAACTTAATCCATAATCACTTTAACACTTGTTTAACAGTCTCTACAACAGCACCTTCTTGCTCTCCGACTCGTACTGGGCGACCATTTCCTTGGGCCGTCTCGCGGGCACCCTCGTCAAGGTCAAAGCGATGGCAATAGCGATCACCGAGATGAATGCAATGAAGATCGCGCCCGCGGACAGAACTTTGATCGTTATCCTCGCGTACTGCGCGGCCACCGTCGAGCAGCCGTAGCGTTCGTTGGCCAGTTTGTTCGTGAACTCGCACTCGATGCTGTACGGGTCGAGGAAGCCGCGGTAGTACACGTCGCAGCAGGAGTTGGGGAACTCGGACTTCCAGTTCTTGTAGTCGCGCGGGCTCTCGGCGCCGCAGCAGTGCAGCTTCCTCTCGATGTTGCCGAACGAGCTGGCGACGTCGTTGTCCGTCTTCGACTGGAAGTAGACGTCCCACACGGTGTCCTTGATGAAGTCGTCCGTGGTCTTGTTGTCGGCGAACACCAATGAGAGCACGGAGACGGTCACGAGCAGCACGGCCACCGTGGAAAGGCACGCGATGTAGACCAGCAGGAGGGTGCGGCTGCCGTTCCTCGCGCCGGAGAATCCGCACGCCGTGACGCCCACGACTATCACGCTGACGATTAGGAAGACCCACGGCACCGCCTGGGGCCAGTACACGTTGTAGTCCAGGAGGTAGTGGTTGCTGTTCCGCAGTGTGGTGAGCTCTTTCACCTGGCAGAAGAACCAGATGGCCGCCGCCGCGAGGGCCAAACTCAGGACCACTATCACTCCGTTCAGGATGTGCAGGAACAACTTCGCGGCGTCACCCTTTGCCATGTTATCGCTTTTATATACGCGCTTCGAGATGCAAACACGCGACGTGCGTCCACTCGCTTGCCTCACAATTAAATGGCGTGCCGCAGGGCCGCCACTTGGTTTTATAACAACGCCCGATCGCAGTGGCTCGGTCGAATCGGCTGAATCATGAGTTTGTATGGAAGCCTGTTAATGACACCATACATTTTTTTTTCCCGCTCGGTTTACGTCATCGAGCGTATTTGGCGATTGATTAGTGCCTTTAGTGGATGAAGCTACTTATCTCAGCGGTCGACTGAGTTAACTCGATCTGTGTAGGTACTGACTCGGCATTAGTTAAATATAATTCTGTTTGATTTCTTACATTGTAGTGCATACATATATAATGATAATAAACTACTATACGTATTTTTATATGTATATTATTTTAATGTAGTTAAAGTACGTATATTATACTGTACGTATATTTTATTTGTTTTTACTGAACACATCAGTACCATGAATGGTTCAGCGTTCGACACGACGAGATATTTAAAAGTAATAATTCTGTTCTTTAATTTCATGTACAATTTACTTGTTACAAGGTATCATTTTAAGTTTAAATTTAATATTTCGTTTAACTTTCACTATTGATTTTAGTTCAAAAGGGTTGGAAACGCGTGGAAGTTATGATCTGAAGGGGAGATAAAAAACGGAAACGAATGCACAAAAATGGACGGTTCTTTGCGTTTTTATACTCTTATCGCGTGACCCGGTTTTTTCACAACATGACATAATATTATGTTTTTGTCCATGCAATCGACATTATGAATAGATAACTTTTTTGTTTGAAACGTAAACCTTGGCTTGCATAAATAGACATTGATAACAGCAACTGTATACTCAACATTACTGCTCAACCACTCAACACTACTTAGTTTTATAAAAGTTACTCCCGCGCTTAGAAATAAAACTAGAAATAATAAACAAAGCAAACGTGGACTCGGAACGAGTACTTCTGGGTTAAACATAAATTTTTCCTATGCGGGGTCGAACCCACGACCGCTATAGCACTTACCTAGGCGTATCGTTAAAATGTTGCACGACCGGTGCTATTGAACTTAACTGTGAATCTAAACAAAAGCGAAAACACCGGAAGCGTACCGTAAAGTGTCCTGGAGTGATGAATTAAAATTAATTAACTCAGAAAAACGGGACGCGCGAACGGGAAGTTAATGAGTACATTTATTTAATATAAATAAATTAAGGCATTACCTGATGTGTGGGTCGGAAAGAAACTGCACTGTACAGCCGGTATTAGGGCATAGTTCACCATATGGATTGGTGGATATATCATCGAAATATTTATTTGTCATTAATTCGAAAATATGCAGTATTACTCAAGATGTTTTCCTTCACCGCTGAGCGCGCGATAAGCCAGCACTTATAATTAACAATTTAATTTGGTACCGGCACCGGGGATTGAACTCAAGTAGCTAAAGCATAGGTATTGAATTAAAAGCATGCGCCCGAACAATGAGCTATCACGGCTCGATATAATCAAGCCATAATTTCTACAGTAAGGGACGAGAAAGCAGATTCAAACTTCAAACACGACGACCCGAATACCGTAGTGGATAGAGTACCTGCCTCCTGTGCCAGAGGGTGTGGGTTCGATCCCCGCGACTGGAAAAATATTGTGTGATGAACATGGTGTTTTTCTAGTGTCTGGGTGTTTGTATATAAATAATATGTATTTATTTACAAAAGTATGTTTAAGTATGTTTATCAGTTATCTAGTACCCATAGTACAAGCGTTGCTTAGTTTGGGTTAGAGAAAGCTCTGTGAAAATGTGTCCTAAAACATTTATAAATATTTATTTATAAATCTATTCTAACTAAAATTTAACAGAGAATTTATGTAGGTTCACCTAGCCTACTAGATTTTATTTGTGAACTAGTTGTTAACCGCGGCTTCGCCCGAGCGGTCAAAGGAAATTAACAATGAGTTTTTCATTATACACCAGAATAGCTCCCAGATGCCAGAATTTTTTCCTACTTACTTGACACTTATCGTTATATTTTGGACAATTCACACAATATCTTCATAAATTATAACCTATGTATTATTCTGATGTATAAGCTATATTATTGTAGTTTCATTAAAAGTCATTCGGGAGTTTTGCGAGAGTAACAAACATCCATACATTCATGCGTACAAACTTTCGAATTTATAATATTAGTAAGGATGGTGTTGGGTAAGAGCAATTTTCTGTATATATATTATATTAGGTTTGAAAACCCGACGCATTTGCTGATCAATCGACGGTGGTGCGGTGTAGACAAGAATTTATTTAAGGATTAATTTAACATCAGGGTCAATCTGTGGCCCATGAGTCAACTCATGAACTGAATGCAGTGCCACACTTGTTTTGTTCGCCTTTATATACTTGACGCCATAGAATAAGTAACATGGGGCATTGTATACGCTTCTACGACAAAACCCCAATAAAAGCGCAATGCCTATTGCCAGGTAAAAATTTATTCAAGAAAAACTTTATAAAAAGGGTCATTATAACATAAACTAATATAATAAAAACCCCTAGAAATGAGTTGATCGCTACCAAGATATTTCTAACAAAATTTAAGTTTGATATTTTGATGTTTTGAGGGGAAAAAAATATTTCTTATGTCGAAGTAAAACACTCCCACTTCACGCCGATCTTCTATGAGGTCCTGGTAATTTCCCAGAGGGGCCTGTCCATTCGTGCAACAACGACTGACTGTGGTAAGTCAAGTGCCCGAAGATTTGTATCAAAATTAAGCACTCACGATACATTATATACAGTACTTTATTGCTAACGTATTGATATTTATCCATACGTACGAATTTTCGATACCTACTTAGCATACGGGTGAGTCATTTCAAATATGTTTGCTATCTCAGTTGGTAGAGGCGTAAATTGGTCGACACGTAAAAACGTGGCATGACAATAGAATGGTAATAAGACGAAAAGAGTTAAAGAATTAGACATAGACATAGATTTTATTTTGACAAGCGACACACAGCAAGAACATTCGAAATAAATGACATGAAACTAACAAATAATAACAAAACATCGTTTCAAAAAATACAAATTAAAAAAGTAAAATAAAAGTGTAAGTACACAAAGTTACAAATATAATAAAACAAAAAAGACATAAGTAACCTTTGAGGAAAAAAACATGTAAAGTGTATAATATATAAAGAATGGAATATATGATAACTAGCTTTTACCCGACTTTTCTTTCTAGATTTTTCGAAATTAAGTAGGTATGGTATATAAGCCATCTCAATTCACAAACATACTCACATGGGTTACAAATATACTCACTCACAAAGCATCGCATTTATAAAGTGCCAAAAGATTTCATGGTGCATTTAAAGGCCTGTAACCATGTTTTTTTTTTATTAATAAGCTGGCTAGTACTTGACTGCCATCCCACCTGATGTTAAGTGGCGATGCAGCCGTTGATGGTAAGCGCGCTAGCTCAGTAGAAACCTATTCACTCTTGCCTTGAAGACGCCAACGTTGTATTCGGACGGAAAGACGGACGCCGGCAGGCTATTCCATTCCTTAGCTGTACGGATGATAAATGAAGAAGCGAATCGCTTTGTTCTTGGACGTGGGACGTCGACAGCATAAGGGTGGAGCCCCGCCGAACGCCTGGTTGTCCGATGATGGAAAGGGGCGGGAGGAATAAGATCATGTAACTCCAACGTACACTCTCCAAAATGTATCCTGTAGAAAACCGAGAGGCAGCGCCTGTGCTCAAGGCTAGTGAGATTGGTTTGAAATCGATTAATAAAACTTAAAAATAAACGCGATGAACCCGTAAATATAGTTTAATTTAATAATAAAATATAATATGATTTAAGTGCAATCGCGTAAATACAAGAAATTATGATGTGTATAGTTCACTTTTACTGATGGCTTTAAATCTCTTTTTCAATTTATATCACAGCGGAAATAAAGGGCCATATCAAGATCGACACCTGGTCTGCCATTGTCTGCGACTACCTAGGGGATGGCAGCTTAAACAATGGATACGTCTTGATCCTACGTAATGTTTCATTTTTCATTCACCTCGTCAAGCATACTCCGTCTATCCGTCCGGATGTATGTGTATCCTTGAAAACAGTTTTTAGCCTTCCGCTGAGATAATAGGTTTATAAACTAAGAAGACATTACCACGTATCATAAATGGATGATAGTCAAGTTCTAACGATAAACCAATGTGACACAATAGTTTAACGGAGTAGATATATTGTGTTATAGATACTGTTATGTTTCAAATAAACGGTAAAATCATAAATAAAAGCAAATATATGCAAATTTATAACAGCTAAAAATATTAAGTTACGTGTATTAAAAGTTTTTTAACTTTCGTTAATGAAATGGTATTATTAAAGGCGTGATAAACAATATTTCTTAAGTTTTTTTCAGTTTAATTTATAGTGTGTATTCTAATTTCTATCAGCAAAGATGTCTGGATTATGCTGAAAGTAGGACGTAAAGGTCAAGGTATAGGGGCTTATTGTAATGTAACAATAACGGTTGGAAATCTTTGCCTCTTATTTCATATTATTCAAATTTGTTCGTCATAGCTAGTGTCGACGTTATTTTAGAATACACGAACGACCCGAGTTCAAATGCGGGTGCCGGCACCAATGATATTGTTATATGCAATTTAAGTGCTGTTTTACGTTTTCAGCGGTAAAGGAATATATCGTGAGGAAACCTGCATATTTTGATGACTCTGTTGCGCAGTGGCTTCGGCTTCGGGGGTCGTGGGTTCGATTCCCACACGGGTCAACTATTTGTATGGCCCACAGATAGTTTTCACGCATCTGGATGTTTGTCCGCGTGAAATTTATGTTTGTAAAACGTCCTTACAAAACAGAATAAAGTTATCCTAAAGTAAGGGCAATGTTTTTTTTAAATAATAATATTATTAAATTATTACGAATACATGAACTGTACAGAGATCATAATTACATA